AAACTTCCTTTTTTATTTTTAGGGGTCAAAACTCAAAAATTTCAAAAATCCTAGATAGCGGTTTTGTAGCCCTGTAATTTTACACCTTTTATGTCTTGATCATTGTTCTGTATCTTCAAAGCTGTTGGCCTGACAGCTCTTCTCGCGAAGGTCTTTTTTCGGTCGAAAATGGCAGAACATGACGTCATTCTGACGTCATTTGTGGCCGACCTATCATAGCTTCTGAAATATTTTTTTGTTGAAATGTGTAAATTTGATGCCCGAAGGGGTCCTGAAAGTTTGGTGGCGATATCTGCAGCCGTTTAGGACATATCGACGGAAAAGGACAGGGGGCCGTTTCGGCCCTGCTTCCCTTACGGGGCGCGGGTTAACCCGCGCCCCGTTGGGCTCTGCCGAGCAACGCGCCCCGTTGGGGGGGGGGCCATTTTGGCCCCCCCTAAGATCTCGAGAACCACGCAACGTAGCGACAAGCGGCAAACGGTGTTGGATAGCCCTATCAGGGAACTACCTTGTGACCCAATTTTATTGACCTAGGTCAAACCGATGACGTCACAGGTCAGGTCAAAGGTCCAATTTTCACCGTTTACAGGCATTTCAAGAAATGCGTTGTAAAATCGAGTAAAATGCATTTCATTGAAAATCATCGATGGGGAAATGTTCTTCAAACACATATTTTGCTAGTTGAGGTCTCTGATACCAGGTCAGGTCACTGAGGTCAGGTCACTGGGGGGTCACAATATGAAAGTGTCGTGTGATACATGTTTTATGGTCCATTTTACATGACAAATGCGATTATGTGGGTCAGGCAGCCTTTGGGGCCAGCTTAGGTCACGTTTTGGTCAAGGTCAGGTCAAGGGCAGGTCAAATAAGGTCAAATTTCAAAGTTGATATTTTTGCATAAAATGGGTATCGAATCGATGCAGCTCGTCACGGGGAGTTCAATGGTGGTCTTTGTTTTGCCGTACGAGGTCTAGAATCGCTAAAAATTGAGTTCAAAAATTTGACGTCATCATTTTTGAACAGTTTTTTCGCTATAACTTGGCCAAAAAACGAGATATCGATCTGAAATTTGGTATGTATATGGAAGAGCGCAGGGACTATCACATATATTCCGGTTTTTTCGAAATTCGGAAAAATTTTGGATTTTTTTTTAGTTTTTCTAAAAAAATCAATTTTTTGAATTTTTTTGGGTCAAAAACCCAAAATTTTGAAAATCCGAGATAGCACTTTTGTAGCGCCGCTTTTTGTCTATTAGACCATATAAAGAACTTTGAAATTGCTTGATAACTGTAGATTTGGTGAGCGTTTCAAGATTGCATGTTTTTTGCTCATTTTTGCTCGAACATGACCTCAGTTTGACCTCAATAACTCCTGACCTAAGGTGACCTAAGACTTGAAATTTGGTGTGAAGGTGTCAAATTGATGCCCGGAAAGTTACTGAAAATTTGGCGGCGCTGCGCGCCGCCGTTTTCTTGCTATTCAGGAAAAACCACAGGGGGGGGGGGCCAAAATGGCCCCCCCCAACGGGGCGAGGGTTAACCCTAGAACGCCTTGGGGGGGGGGGGTTGTATCAACCCCCCCCTGAGGTTTTTTCGAAGTGCACGCTAAACGGCTTGTCGTAGCGGGCTGAAATTTTCAATACCCTCTGGGGCAACCTTTGCGCATCTTTTGCCGAAAAAAAAAAATTGATCGGGTCATGTCAGGTCACGGAGTTATGACGTCATAAGAGGTACAGCCTCCGGCCGACAGTTACCAAACGTGTGCGCCGAATCCCTAGGTTTTCTGCCGGTGATACCCACATTGTTTGATGGATCATGATGAAGCTTCCCATGCATGTTGGGGCAAGCATTGGCTATCGTGTGGTGCAAGAAAATTGACCGGGTCAGGTCAGGTCACGGAGCTATGACGTCACAAGAGGAACAGCGTCCGGTACTATTTTTGAAAAGCGCCCGAACCACTATTTTGCTAATTCTTGTCACCTCAATGGGAATATGCAGCAATATTAGCTTCTATAGGGAGCAAATGGACCTCCCAAATCCAAAAATACAATCAGATTTCAAAAATTTAAATTTTGATTTTTCGAATTTCTGCCGCCGACTGTGACCTGGCCGACTTCCGGCGCTCCCAACGCGCCATTTTTAGAGCTAGGGAAACGAAATACATACCAAACGATAGAGAATTGATCAAGAAACACGATAGTGAAGGTTTCAAGTCGATATCTCCCACCGTTTTGCCGCAATCGCCGCGGAAAGTTGAAAAAGTTTGATTTTTTTTCGGAAAATTTGACCTTTGACCGGTCATAAGTAGGTCAAATGTTGACCTAGGACCAAAAAATATACCACCAATCGCGAGATCTCGTTGAGAGCAATCCGTTGGTTTTTTCCGCTAAGCTCTACGACCTTCCGTTTCGAAACGCCAGGGGGGGTCGTAACAACCCCCCCCCCCCCTGGTCGTTCGTGTTATGAGAAATGGCCTGGTCGTGCGAGGGTTAAGACCTAAAAAGGTGTCTCTCTGATGCAGGTTTTCACGGCAAATCGAATGGTGCTATTTTTGTTTCCGTAGGCGTAGGAGATCTAGAACTTCCAAAAACTAATTTTTCGAAAATTTTGTGTGTCGTGACGTCATAAATTTTTGATTGACTCCCACATTTTTGAACCGATTCTTCTAAAAATTGGTAGGTAGTTGGACGCTGCACAGACTACTTCTCTAACCTATTCCGGCTTTTTCGATATGCTAAAAATTTGGATCTTCTATTGATTTTCCCCCAAAAGTCAGTTTTTTTTAAGAAAAAATGGGCTTAAATCCAACATTTCCAAAATACCGAGATAGGCATTTGATAGAAAAAGTAGAATAACGTATAACCTTTTTGTTGCGTCTTGATTCCTTTAGAAATGAAAACGTTAGCGTTGTTTGAAGTTTTGCGGTTTTTGAAGCGAAAATGGCGTGACATGACGTCACTTAAACGTTATTTTCTAAAAAAAGATCTGACGGATTTCGCTCAAATTTTCAGGAAACGTGTTAAATTGATGTATGATTACGGAGCGAGCGAAGCGAGCGTAGTCTTTCCTTAGATTAACGGAAATTTCTGAGTATGAGCGGCCGGCCGGCCGGCCGGCCGGCCGTGGTCACGCTTTTGCGAGGCTTATATCTCAGCAACCACTTGACCGATTTACACGCAGTAATTTTTGTAGGGTAGCTTCATTCCTTCTACCAAGTATTGGACTATTCCCGATGCATGTGGGTGACCCCTTATGCACGTGCCACGTGCAAAACGAAGAGGTGTCAGTTTTGTAATTGTTGCAATATCTCGGTAACTACTTGGCCGATTGCGCTGAAAGTTGGCATGTAGGTAGGCACCCACTAGGCACTGCATATCCATGTGCCAGAGTTGGGGTGCTGCTGCACGTGCGCACGTGCAGGGGTCGTTTCCAGAACTCGAGAACGGCTCGGCCGATTGCGCTCAAATTTGGTACACAGTTAGGGACCGGTTAGTAGGGTGCCGTGCACAAGTCAGTTGGGACCCATTTTGCACGTGCGCACGTGCAGGGTGCCGCTTCCAGATCTCGAGAACGGCTGGGCCGATTGTGCCCAAATTTGGCACATCGCTAGAGACCGGTTAGTAGGGTGCCGTGCACAAGTCAGTTGGAGGTACCCCCTCGCAACTTCGCACGTGCAAGGCCCACCCTCTCGCTTGCTCCGTTAGTCGCCCCAAAAGGCGTTTTACTGGTAAGGTACTGAAAGTTTGACGTCGTCGGCTTAACGCGTTTAGAAGTTATTAGCGAAAAACGGGAGGGGGGGGGCAGATTCTGCTTCCCCGAGTGGGACGCGGGTTAAAGTTCTTGCAAGGTTCGACGCTTGATTTGGCGCTGTATAATAGTAATTACGGAGCGAGCGAAGCGAGCGTAGTCTTTCCTTAGATTAACGGAAATTTCTGAGTATGAGCGGCCGGCCGGCCGGCCGTGGTCACGGTTTTGCGAGGCCTATATTTCAGCAACCACTTGACCGATTTGCATGCGGTAATTTTTGTAGGGTAGCTTCATTCCTTCTACCAAGTATTAGACTATTCCCGATGCATGTGGGTGACCCCTTATGCACGTGCCACATGCTAAACGAAGAGGTGTCACTTTTGTAATAGTTGCAATATCTCGGTAACTACTGGGCCGATTGCGCTGAAAGTTGGCATGTAGGTAGGCACCCACTAGGCAATGCATATCCATGTGCCAGAGTTGGGGTGCTGCTGCACGTGCGCACGTGCAGGGGTCGATTCCAGATCTCGAGAACGGCTGGACCGATTGCGCTCGAATTTGGTACACGGTTACGGAGCAGTTAGTAGGGTGCCGTGCACACTGCACAAGTCAGTTGGGACCCATTTTGCACGTGCGCACGTGCATGGTGCCGCTCCCAGATCTCGAGAACGGCTGGGCCGATTGTGCTCAAATTTGGCCCATCGCTAGAGACCGGCTAGTAGGGTGCCGTGCACAAGTCAGTTAGAGGTACCCCCTCGCAATTTCGCACGTGCAAGGCCCACCCTCTCGCTCGCTCCGTCAGTCGCCCCAAAAGGCGTTATACTGGTGGTAAATGAATTACACTAGTTATCATACAAGAGAGGCGCCTGTCATCACCGTTTGGCCATTTGCCATGCTGCAGTGCTGGCTGCTGCAAGGTTTAGCTGATAGCCCTGCCATACGTATGTACAATAGGCCTGCGTCTGTGACTACTTCATCATACCGTCCCGCCCCCGTCGCACCATCCGGTGTGTGGTGGGTCACCGACACTGGACAGAGGGTCACCTGCCCCCCGTCACTGCGTGACCCCCCACCAGCCGTTTGGGGAGGGGAGGGGAGGGGTCCACACCGCACCACCCGCTGGCCGGAATGAGCTGCAACACACGGCCGATTTGCAGCCGACTCGTCACCCATTCGACCGGCGCCCGCCCCCGCCCATCGGGGCTCGTTTGGGAGCACCGCACCGAGCCGGTCCCCTGTCCCGCCGGCGCCGACGGGAGGGGGGGGGGGGGCTGTGTTACGACCAGCGCGGCGTCCGCTGCCGGTCGGCGGCGTCACGATATAACGCGCCGTGACGGTCGGCCGGGCAGAGTGGCACGATGGCGGCCGCGGGAGGCAGAGCGATGCCGCTGTTCAGCTCACTGGCCCTGCTCGTCCTGCTGGGCACAGCCGCAGGTGAGCGACCCCCGTCCCCCTACCAGTCCCCACCGGTACCCGGTAACCACCGCCACCACCTCAGGTATCCACCACCACCACCTCCGTAAACCACCTCCGGTAGCCACCGCCGCCACCCCAGATAACCAACCCCGGTAACCACCGCGACCACCTCCGGTAACCACCCCCGGTAACCACCGCGACCACCTCAGGTAACCCCAAGTGTCAAATGACTAGCAATTAGTTCATTAGTGACGCCAAAAGTACTTTTGTATAGGCTATAGAGTAGCTGGCTGTTACGACACCGAAAGCCGCCATTAAAAAATAACACTTCAGATAGTACTTTGTAGTTGGCGTCGACTAATTCCAAGACGTTACCCTCGCCCGCACATGCCATTTTCCCATCCTAGAACGCACATGGGGGGGGGGTTGCCACCCCCCCGCGCCATTTCGTTCCTGTTGGAGATAGAGCTTAGCGGTAAAGACCAAAAAGATTCTTTGGGAAGAGACGAATCCAATGATACCCAGTTTTACCTTCTCAGGTCAGTCATTGACCTTCCAGGTCAGGTCAAACTAAAAAATGTTGCTGTTTTGGGTCACCGTTGGATATCAAGTGCGCTGCTTATCATATACCGATGACGATGCCGTTTTCTGGTGCCAAGCCAGCTAGAACCTCTTTGTCACACTACCCGACCAGAATTTTGCTGCTGAGGTCATTTCAGGTCAAGTTAGGTCAAGGTCAATAATATGTGTTTGTATGTCTGTGTGTGTCTGTGTGTATACTGATGTGTGCACCGATTGTTTTTGGGTCCATATTACATGAAATCATGATCTGAGAAGCTTTTACCAAAATGCAGTCAAAAAACTTCACAAAAAGTAAATTCAGCTTGCCTAAAACGCAATTATCTTAGATGACCTAGGTTGACCTTGACCCTGACCTTGACCCCTGTACATCGTCGAACAACATGTTCCATGATAGGTGGGAGGTAAGACTGGCAAAAAAGGCCGAAATCAGGGTGTCAAAAGCTCACAAGGCCCATGGCAAACGCAAGATGTTGAGAATTGGCCATTTGGGTCATGACATGACCTGAAAAAACAAGGTCATATCTCCGAAACCAAAAATCACAGAAGCTTCAAATTTTCAGTGGACATCAAGAAATGATAGAGGAGCAGCTATACGAAAAATCAGCCCTCTAGCTCTAAAAATGTTGAGTGCAGAGCAGAAAGACTACCTGGGGAGGGGGTGGCAACCACCCCCCCCCCCCATGTGCGGTCGAGGGTTAAAAGACATAACAGACTTGATGTTGAAGGCATTAGCAGAAATACAAAACGTTTAGGCACTTAAGTGTTCTAAAGCATATAACACGCTTTTGCCGCTTTCCGCATTAAGCAGTGTAGGCCCAATTTTCGTGAAAAAAAAACACATTTCCCGCCAGAGCATCGATCTAGACCATTCAACGGCTTTTGGCTTCAGCCCCAGCCCTCCTACTGACCTGCCCAGTATCCCCAGTCCTCCTAAGTCCTATACTGACCTGCCCAGTATCCCCAGTCCTCCTAAGTCCTATACTGACCTGCCCAGTGTCCCCAGTCCTCCTACTGACCTGTCCAGTGTCCCTAGTCCTCCTACTGACCTGCCCAGTGTCCCAGTCCTCCTACTAACCTGTCCAGTGTCCCCAGTCCTACTGACCTGCCCAGTGTCCCCAGTCCTCCTACTGACCTGCCCAGTGTCCCCGGCGGCCGGACCCGCTCTGAGCCGTCTTATAGTCAGCGCCTGCTGATCCGCCTGCTGTCAGCGCTCTGACCGCTGTGCCGCGGTGCCCGCAGAGCTGTCCGGCGCCGCCGGCCCTCCCGGCTCGGCGCTGCTCTTCTTCGAGGACAACGAGTGTCTGCCGGAGGACTTCCCAGAGGGCGTGGCCATGTCGGTGCGGGAGGCGGCGGACACGTGCCGCAGGGGCCGCCACGGCTTCCGGCTGCCCGCCACGCTCGGCTGCCTCGCCGAACGGTGAGGACTGGGAGGACTGGGCTGTGAGGACCGGGAGGACTGGGCGCTGAGGGGCGGGTTGGGCGGCGAGGGGCGGGTTGGGCGGTAAGGGGAGTACTGGTCGGTGTGGAAGCCATTCTTATAAAGAAAAAGGACGGAGGGACGGAAGGAAAAAAAGAACACGTCTGTCAAGACAGCCTCAGATTCAGATTCACTTTCAGAATCACATTCGGACCCCCTTAGATTTTCATAAAAACTGGTCCATGTGTACAGTTTTGGACGCTGATTCCAATGGTGAAGTCTGTTTTTCGCCACATATTATACTTTGGCCCCTAGAGGCATTCAAAGTTTTTTGGGGGCGAAGGGGGACCCCCTTAGATTTTCATAAAAACTGGTCCATGTGTACTAATATGTGGCGAAAAACAGACTTCACCATTGGAATCAGCGTCCAAAACTGTACACATGAACCAGTTTTTATGAAAATCTAAGGGGGTCCCCCTTCCCCCCCCCCAAAAAAAAACTTTGAATGCCTCTAGGGGCCAAAGTATAATATGTGGCGAAAAACAGACTTCACCATTGGAATCAGCGTCCAAACCTGTACTCATGGACCAGTTTTTTTTTTAAATCTAAGGGGGTCCCCCTTCGCCCCCAAAAAACTTTGAATGCCTCTTGAGGCCAAAGTATAATATGTGGCGAAAAACAGTCTTCACCATTGGAATCAGCGTCCAAAACTGTACAAAAGGACCAGTTTTTATGAAAATCTAAGGGGGTTCCCCTTCCCCCAAAAAACTTTGAATGCCTCTAGGGGCCAAAGCATAGGCGGCGGAACGGGGGGGGGCACCGGGGCACCGTGCCCCCCCTTGAATTCTGCAAGGGGGGCACCAATAGCAAGGTGCCCCCCTTAAATTTGATGTATTAGTACTAGGGGCAGATTCGGGGAAAACTCCAAGGGGAGGGCCATGAATCGAAGTGGTGCCCCTACCTATGCCCAAAATTAAAACCTCAACGGATTTCGGCCACTTAATTTTGGTGGTGCCCTATTTTCAGTTTTTTTTTATTTTCTTTATTTTTGGTTAGTCATGTGATGACTAGTGCCCCTGCACCTGCTAGGCCGCTGATGCCCCTGGAAAGACTGTGGTACCTACCTACCCTGCCCCCTGACAAGCCTACGGTGGGCCCTGACATGACTTAGGTGCCCATGGGCCCTGACAGGCCTGTGGTGTCCTTGCTAAGCCTGTGGTGTCCCTGGGCCTTGGCAGGTTTTCGGTGCCCCTGTTAGAACGCAGGTGCCCTTGACAGGTTTGTGGTGCCTCTGACAATCCTAAATTGCCAACGACAGGCTTGTGGTGCCCTTGACAGGCCCATGGTGCCCTTGCGAGGCCGGTGGTTCCCCTGCGAATCCGATAGTGCCCCTGGCAGGCCTCTGGTGCCCCTGGCAGGTCTGTGGTGCCCCTGGAAGACCTGTAGTGCTTTTGCTAGGCCGATGGTGCTCCTGACAGGCCTGTGGTGCCACTGACAGGCCCGTGGTGCCCCTGCTAGGCCTATGGTACCCCTGGCGGGCCTGTGGTGCCCCTGTCGGCTGTCAGGCCTGTGGTGCTCCTGGCAGGCATGTGGTGACCCCATGCCCTAAGTCATGACCCATGTGACCTCCACCCTGGGATTCGCCACTGATTAGTACCATGCGATGGCTTCTTGGTAATTTGTTACATGTAGGATTAATGGAATTTATCAAACGAGAATAAGGAAGAGACAAACACATAGGTACTTGGGGATCAGCTTAAAGTTAACCACACATACGGGCAGGGGTGTAATTTTCCTAAAATGATTGTGGGTGCCCAGCTGTAGGGGCGCCCGGCGCCAGGCCGTTTTGGGGCGCGATAGATATTCTTTATGTGGGAGCCTAAATTAACACCGAATTTGATAACATTGCTAGCCGAATGGCGCTTCAAGTGACGTGTCTGACTTAGCAAATACACGCTTAAAAGTGGAAACTGACCGGAAGGACGTAAAAAGCTGTAGAGGGCGCCATCCAGTAGGAGGGGCACCAAATGTGGAGGCACCAGACGGTTACGACTTACGAGGGCGCCGTGAGACGATGAAAAGGGCGCCATTCTCTTGGGAGGGCGCCGAGTGATTGAAAACGCTATGTGGTCCAGGGGCGCTAAGAGGCCAGAAGGGCGCCGCACAGTCAGTAGTGCTACGTTGGTGGGGACGTGGGGACGCCAGATGGTTACGAGGGCGCATTGAGATCATGAAAAGGGCGCCATTCTCGTAAAAGGGTGCCGAGTGATTGAAAACGCTATATGTGGTTCAGGGGCGCTGAGAGGCCAGAAGGGCGCCGAACAGTCGAGGGATGCACGGTGAACAGAGACCTAAGGACGCGAGACGGTCAGGAGGGCGCCGTTAGACCATGAGAATGGCGCGGTGCTGTCAAAAGTGCGCCGTTCTCCCAGAAGGGCGCCGAGTGATTAAAAACGCTATATTATCCATGAACGCGAGACGGTCAGGAGGACGCCGTTAGAGCATGCGAAGGGCACCGAACTCTCGAAAGGACGCTTGCAGCCTTGTAAAAGACTTGTGGGTGCATTTTCATCATTGTGTGGGCATACATAATTCAGGATTGTGGGTGCATATGCCCCCACAAAGAGATATAAAATTACACCCCTGCATACGGGGGTGAACTGCCATTTTCGTTTAGTAAAAAATAAAATTAAAAAAAAATCATCGTGTCAGGGCTGTGACGAAAAATAAGTGGCCTAAATCCGATGAGAAAACAGGATTTGGGGGTACCCTAGGTTTGGCTCCTTGAGCCATGGTGCCCCCCCCCCCCCCTTGTCTCAAATCGTTCCGCCGCCTATGGGCCAAAGTATAATATGTGGCGAAAAACAGATATCACCATTGGAATCAGCGTCCAAAACTGTACACATGGACCAGTTTTTATGAAAATCTAAGGGGGTCCCCCTTCCCCAAAAATACTTTGAATGCCTCTAGGGGCCAAAGTATAATATGTGGCGAAAAACAGACTTCACCATTGGAATCACATTGACTTCACCAGTTTTTATGAAAATCTAAGGGGGTCCCCTTCCCCAAAAATACTTTGAATGCCTCTAGGGGCCAAAGTATAATATGTGGCGAAAAACAGACTTCACCATTGGAATCAGCGTCCAAAACTGTACACATGGACCAGTTTTTATGAAAAATCTAAGAGGGTCCCCCTTCCCCCCCAAAAAAACTTTGAATGCCTCTAGGGGCCAAAGTATAGGGGAAGCGGGGGGAGCACCGCCACCTTAAGCATTTCTGCTCACCGAGCTGATATGCGTAGTAAAAACGAAGCTCTTTTGCATTCATGTGAAAGTAGGAATGTTTTCCTACATGTTGGCATAGTTTCCAACGCTCCATTATAAAATTTCGCTACTTTACAGACGTCAAAAACAAGTCCTGCATTTTTCGTCCTCCAAAAAATGTGCGGGTAGCACCGCCACTGATGGCGATGTTATCCACAGATCGGCCTTACGGTGACAGCCACCCTTGGAAGCGTTACTGCTGTCTGAAATAGTAACTCAAACTCATATAAGACACACAAGAGTTGGTTGTTAGTTTGTCACAGATCAGACTGTTTGTTGCGGACAATATGCATATAAAGCATGACAAATTCACGTTTATTTCGAAACATCCAGTGAAGTCAAACGTGAGGTTAAAAAACAGACGGCGTTTGCGGCCTAACTAAAGCTCTTCTCCGAGCTGAGTGAATCATCATTGCGGCTTTTTCCATTTTGCCACCCCTTGGGGTAGCACCGCCGAGCATGGCGGTGTTACCCCACTCACAGTCATGGACCGACAACGCCCCGACAGCAAAACAAGCCGGGATGCGATTCTTCTGTAATTCCTTTCTCAACAAAGAGCACTTCATGCCCTCAAATTTAACGTAAAAATCAAGGCATTTTGACTTATAATGATAACTTACTTGCTGCTCAAACATGCCAAATGATTACAACGATGGTTTGAAATTCACAAAATGGGCAATTGCGATCTCAAAATCAAATAAATCTTAGCGAAACCTACCTCACGCGGCGTCCCGTTTCCGTTCGGACACCGAAATGGCGGGTGTTTACATTTACAATTCAGAGTTTTGCCGATAGAGAGGATGGCGGTGTTTCCCACATGGCGGTGCTACCCCCGCTTCCCCTAATATGTGGCGAAAAACAGACTTTACCATTGGAATCAGCGTCCAAAACTGAACACATGGACCAGTTTTTATGAAAATCTAAGGGGGTCCCCCTTCCCCCAAAAAACTTTAAATGCCTCTAGGGGCCAAAGTATAATATGTGGCGAAAAACAGACTTCACCATTGGAATCAGCGTCCAGAACTGTACACATGGACCATTTTTATGAAAATTTAAGGGGGTCCCCCTTCCCCAAAAAAAACTTTGAATGCCTCTAGGGGCCAAAGTATAATATGTGGCGAAAAACAGACATCACCATTGGAATCAGCGTCCAAAACTGAACACATGGACCAGTTTTTATGAAAATCTAAGAGGGTCCCCCATCCCCAAAAAAACTTTGAATGCCTCTAGGGGCCAAAGTATAACATGTGGCGAAAAACAGACTTCACCATTGGAATCAGCGTCCAAAACTGTACACATGGACCAGTTTTTATGAAAATCTAAGGGGGTCCCCTTTCCCCCCAAAAAATGAATGCCTCTAGGGGCCAAAGTATAATATGTGGCGAAAAACAGACTTCACCATTGGAATCAGCGTCCAAAACTGTACACATGGACCAGTCTTTATGAAAATCTAAGGGGGTCCCCCTTCCCCCAAAAAAAAACTTTGAATGCCTCTAGGGGCCAAAGTATAATATGTGGCGAAAAACAGACTTCACCATTGGAATCAGCGTCCAAAACTGTACACATGGACCAGTTTTTATGAAAAATCTAAGGGGTCCCCCTTCCCCAAAAAAAACTTTGAATGCCTCTAGGGGCCAAAGTATAATATGTGGCGAAAAACAGACTTCACCATTAGAA